ATCTTTTGTCATAAACAGGGTCCACAAATTTGAGTTTTTTTATCTTAAACAGGGTACCCCTTTCAGAATCCCAGCGGAACACCCTACCCAAATTCTGGCGGAGTACCCCCCTCCCTGGGCTATGCTATGCTATGCTATGCTGTGCTATTATTTATCGGTATGCAGATATTCTTAATATTTTCCCTTAGAGTGCAGTGGTTTCACAGCTCTCGGGATGGAATCTGGAGCTATCAAAGAAAGCCAGCTCTCTGCCTCGAGTATTAAGCTAGACAGCAATGGTCATATGCTGTCGCCTAGTTTGGCTAGATTGAAGCACAACACCTACTGGACCGTGGCCAACTATCAAAATAGCGTCAACAATAACTTTATTCAAATCGATTTTAGGAAAGTTGTGGCAATTGAGGAGGTTGGTAGTAAAACCAAAGAAAAGAAAAAAAAGATGCAAATCTAAATTCTTGCTCCCCTTCTCCCCTATCCCTATCTTCTTCCCTAATCTAAATCATTGCTCCCCTCTCATATATTCCTACCACTTCCCCTCTATCCTCCTTTCCTACCCTTGTTTTACTCCCTTACCCCTATCCCCCTCCTGTATCCCTATCTCTACCCACTCCCTTAACGCTACACCTATCCACTCCTCTACAGAACTGCAATGAGTATTGATGGTTTGTTTATAATTTGAGATGGTGACACAAGGATCGATGTCCGAACATGTGACCAGTTTCCGTATTGAACACAGTAAAGATGGTATAACATGGACTGAATACAGACAAGATGCCCGTACCAAGGTATGTATATGACTGTCAATCTTATATATTGTTAGAAACTTAGATGAATCAAGTATAATCCTTTAAAAATAACTTCACAAGTCACTTCCACATTCATCCACTCACGACGCGCAACTTCGCTGTTCATCCAATCAAAATGCGTGTTCTACTCATCAAGCAGTGTTAAGAAAGAGCCCAAACTTACCATAATATCCAAAATATGTGAAACAAATATCTTGTTATGAAAAGGAGAAAGTCCTGCTTCATTTCATTTGAGCTACAGCACTGATTTTATCTCGTAGATTTTTAAAGCAAACAGCCCAACAAATCAAATGGCAGAACATCCTCTGTGGTTTCCAATAGCAACGAGATACCTTCGAATTTTCCCGACAAAATGGCAAAAAGAAATAAGATTCAGGGTTGAATTTTATGGCTGTGTGAAACAAGATATTTTGCAAGGTAAGCGATACTGGATAAACGAAAACATTATGTTAGCATAAATGGCTGCGCGCGCGCATTTAAGCTTGATGAACAAAAACATCCATCTCGTACCCTCGCCGCAGGCCAGAACAAATGCAGGCTCTGGCATGGGTACGAGATTGCAAAAAACATAACATAAGCATAAGGAGTTGCGCACGCATTCCAACTTGATGGACAACAAAAGTTAATCAATTTAGCCTAAAGCTAAAAATATCAGGTAATCATAAAAGCTTGGGCCTGCATTCAATCTATATTTTTCTCAGGGTTTATCGGTTTTCTTTCCCCCATAAACTCAGTTTTGGTAATATAAGGATTGAGTAAAAAACGACAACATAAGAAAAATTAAATGGTTCTAGCCAGAAATGGCCTTCATCCCAGGCCTTCACGAGCTTGAGAAACCTAACAGTCCAATTTCAAATTCGATTTTTTCCTCAATTTTAATTCACCGCGCCCTGACTTTGATCAGCCTAGTGGTTGCTTTGAGGGTATCGATAAGATTCCAAGTTATAATGAATTTCCCAAAGTTGTTAATTGATTCAAGAATTCTTGAGGACAATTGAGCTTCTGGTATTTGGTTGAGTATAGAGTTCTTAGAAGCAAGGGCGATTAAGCCATGATTCCTATTAGAATCGGGCTAATTCTCCACTGACTTTTCTGCGAGAAATATCAATCCACCCACCCCCCATCGGCTCTCCGACACCAGAGGACCCTGAATCGTTTTTCACTCGTCTCTACTGAGTTGTCAATGTTGCTTAGGGCATAATAGAACTGCCAGTACCGCCGCCCTGATATAGCTCAGTTGTTAAAAGCTACTTACTAGTCTCTTATATTTTCCAATCTTAGCCCCCCCCCTTTCCCATACTAATCTCAACCTTAGCTCCCCCCATTCTTTTTTGGTTGCTCCGCGGCCCCTGAACATTTCCTTTTTGTATCGGCAAATAGTTAGACCTTCACATGGCTCGGATGACCACGATAATGGCGGTTCCGTCCCTAATCAACTAGAAAAGGTTAAAAGAAGACTACGAGTTTATCAGTTGAATTACTGTCAAGTGTCATTCCGTTGATGAATAGATTTTTATTTTTTTCCGGTCCGGTATCCTAAAAAGCATGCGTTCTGATTGGCTGTTTGAGCGGGCGGTATTTTGTCTGTATCTACTCGCGCTCGCGCTCCGGTATCCTTTGTATCCTTTGCCACTAAACAACAAAACAAAACGATTACAAAAACAAGTAAAAAAATAAACATAATAAAAAAAATTAAAAAAAAAACGGCAAAAAAATAAAAAAGTTATTTAAACGTCCTATAGTCGGTCCGGATAGGGAAAAACTGTGCCCGAGGTCTTGAAAACGGACCTCGGCCTAAGCACAGTTTTTCCCTATCCGGACCGACTGTAGGACGGTAAATAACATATATATTTGTAACAATTGTGTATTCTCTTCTAAACGAGAAGACGACCAGTCTTTAGGTATGGAAGCTGGACAGATCTTATCCAATCAAATCAGTTCTTCGTCGAATTTGGTGGGAACCCAGTCAAGCGCTGGACGTCTGAATTACCCTGGACAAGGATGGTGCGCGGCAACACAAGATGAGCTACAATATCTACAAATAGATTTATTAACAGACCACGTAATTAAAGCGGTAATAGTTTTTTTTTGTATCTAAATTGTTGGTGTTGTCATAGTGATGCACGCTGCTATTTTCCTTATGCTATAAACAATACTCTAGATCTTGGAGAGGAGAGCTGGCAGTACAACATCAAACAAGCTAAAATTAATTGTGCTGCAAGCGCGCGAAAAATTGTTTGGAAAACTTATAAGGAACTCTTCATGCACTAGATTGCAGGGCTAAATTTAGAGGTGTTTAAAATGTTTCAAATTGCATTCATCCTCAAAAGGCTCAGGAGATATAGTGCCGTAGATCGGAGAATAACGTTAACGTTGTTGAAAAGTGAACTGACTAGCATTTCTACCCAAAATTTCTTATCATTGCCGATAGGTAGGAACGTCGTATATGGTACATTATTTTATTTTTCTGCCAATAAGCGTAGTTTGTGATCGCCGTATTTGCACTATACATGAAGTACCATTCGACTAAAGCCTTAAGATCAAGTCTGAATTGTAAGATACCAAAGGTGGCCTATTTCATTCCACAATCCCACGCACCTGAAGGCTTTCTTTCGGAAATAAGAGTTTCTAGCTCTATAATATGCACTATAGCTAGGTTATTCTAATATAGTGAATTTGCTTATCTTACCTCTTTTTGAGAATTTTGAGATATAGCGCACGCGCAGATTGGCTGGCTGCCGTGTTTATATCAGAGCACAGAAACACGCTCGCGCAAAATCGTTCAAAAATATTTTATAAAAGAAATATAAAACGTCTGTTGGGTGCTGTAGAGCACGCACGGCTATGCCGTGTGTTCCTAAGCTTATTTCTCTCGTCCTCTACAGCACCCAGCGTATATCACAGTACAAACCGACGTGCGCGCCCATTTTATATTTCTTAATCAATAAACTCATTCAAAATGTATGAGGAAAACGGGAGGAAAACACAATGGAAATTATGACCGAGAAGAGTTTTATAATTCTGATATAGAATCATGTTCATTTGTATAAACTTTAACTTGGATTTTCTTGGGCAGATTCACTTTTATCTTGAAGATTTTAGTGAAACACAAAGGAACTAACCTAGACGTTTATTAAGCAATATACAATATTCTTGTCCGTTTTGTATTCTTCGTTTGCACGTTACGTCATCGCGGCCATGTTGGTACCATTTAACAAAATATTTCTCATTAGCATCCATTGTTAACGGTACCACAATGGCGGCCATGTTTTTGTCTTTTAACTCTCTTGGGAATGCTTGCAACCCATCAATACGATATATAGTGTGATGTGATGTGACATGAATACATTGACTACTTTATTTTGCAGGTGTCTGTTCAATCTGGTGGGTGTACCTTTGGTAGCTCATGCCCTCTCAACACCGTAGAGTCTTTCTACTTGGCCAACAGTACAGACGGTACTATATGGGATATGTACAAAGAAAATGGAGCAGATAAGGTATCAAGTATAACTTTCTTGACATTAATAGACATATCAAGCTTTACTCTATATGTTAGTGTCAAAGTTGGAGTAGAGAAAGCTCACTCCATATATGGTATGATCAATTCCATAATTGGATGTGCGGAAAAGCGGCAAACAAAAAGGCCGTCGTTTTATAACGAATTCGACATGAACATTTTTGAAGAAGAAGAAGAAAAAAAAAAAAGACAAGTAAAAAAAGAAATACTTTGGAAAATCGAGGAAGGATACGAGGACGATCCTAATTCGTGGGTCTGCCTCGCAGACAACAGACACAGGGAAATACGACACTCAATGCTTGAATTGAAATCTTAACATGACGGACGACATCTATCAATGCATGTTGGAAGACAGAACGAGATCAGAGAATCCCGGACAGAATCTTAAATAAAGATTTACCTATATAACACATACTAATTTTCTTCATTTTTTCCATCAAACATAGTAGCCTGACTGTTATATAACGAACTTACGTGTCAATCATTTTAAGTGAATTTTCGCAGGACTATTCCTTGTTTCATTAACTGAGTTTTTACTAGGTCCCTGGAATGACGTCATCATTTTTTACTGAATATCTCAACAACACAAAGACACATCAAATAATAGTCAACGTCATTTTCATTTACTTTATATATATATATATATATATATATATATTAAAAAAAAAAAACACAAAAGAATCCTGTAGACATTAGGTGCTCATTTTCATGCTTGTAACCAAAAGCTAAACAAGTCTGCGCCATGTTCCTGCGCTAATTAATTGCCTTAAATATCTACTTTCACATTAACTAATACCTATTCATTGATTTATTGGATAGCTGTTTCTTGGTGCGTTGCAAAGCCAACCAACCAAACACACTCTGATTCAAGCAATCACAACACGTCTGGTTAGATTTAAGCCGAAGACGTTTAGAACAAAGATCTGCATGAGAACAGAGATTTATGGTCAGGACGCCTCTCGAGCAAATGGAGGTTAGAACGGGATTGAATCAGGAATAATGCATTAATGACGTCTTGTCGGGACTTTTTTCTTTGTGCGGAAACCTTGTAATTAGTATTTTATTTATCAATTGAGAAGGTTTTCTATCAAATGTTTAAATATTTGACAATTGAAAAATGAAGAAAAAAAAAAAAAAGAAAAAGATAAACAAATAAATAAAAAGAGATTGAAAAATACAACCTGCATGAGCGGGGCTAATGATTTGAACTGAATTGCTCATTATAAATGCGAGGTCAATATATAGTTAATAGAGAGTTTTAGATTTACGTTCACGGCAAACGTGAAACGTCAGTTGACCATTTAAAAGTTATTCTGAATAGTTTAAAAAGAGTCGCAAAAAAATCCAAGTAGTAGAAAAACAAAAGAATATTTGCGCTTGGTGAGAAGGTTTGTAAAAGGTAAAGTAAAATACACGAAAACTATGAAAACGTGGTCACGTTTGCCGTTTGCGGGGAGAAAAAAATGTCAATCTAAAACTCTCTAGTAATTGGGTTAATAACTATATATTGACCTCGCATTTATAATGAGGGTTATAACAAAAATAAAGTCTTGTGAACAATAATGAAAACTGGTCAACTGATAAATAATGGCTTATATGGCTTTCGTTCTTGGTGATTACCTCTTATGTGGTGATGATGATGATGGTCAGTGATAATGATAGTGATGAAGAAGAAGAAGATGATGATGATAATGGTGGTGATGATGATGATGACGATAATGATGATGAAGATGATAGTGATGATGATGATGATGATGATAATGGTTGTGGTGTTGGTGGCTTAGTTAACAGATTGTGCTTAGATAATTGCCTTGGATTCACAAATTGGCAGCCATATAGTGGCTCTACGCACACTAGATCTTCTCCTGTTGTTGATAATGACCATCTGTTAACATTCATTCTATATTATTTTCTTCTGTACCGCAGACGAGCTGCCATTCTTCTCCCGTAGTTTTATGCTTCTCCCAGATGATAACATTTTGATCATGTGTAACGCAGAGTAAGTTTTTTTTTTTATAGCAACCTTGTTTATTACTTGAATTTATTTTGTGTTTTGCTTGTGTGTGTGTACAACAAAACTGGAATTCAGTATTGACTGGAACTTCGGGAAATCAGTGTGTTTTGTGGTCCCTCGAAGGCACTGTTTCGTCGTCTCGGGACCACAAAACACACTATCTCTTAATAGTCCCAGTCAATAAAAGTGTTAAATATTATGTTATTTTCCCCATGTTTTAATCCAAAGAAATAAACGCATGAGATGTTTTTTGACAAGAGGTGCATCAAGGCATTGGCTTGGTGAGTGACGGAGTTTCGTTAACATACACTGTTTGTAATAAATGAATCTACTGCTATAGTATACTATATACCTGAAATTCTGCTTTATCAACTGTTTGTAATAAATGAATCTACTGCTACGGTATACTATATATAACTGCTTTTATTTGTCTAACATATACACAAAATGCTTCATTGTGTGTTTGAAAATTGTCTGTTGTCAATCAGCTCAGTGAATGAATTTCCTGAACCAGCCTTGAGTGAAGCGAAATACTGCGCCCGTCATGTGCTATGTCATGCAACCAGAGAGTAATCTATCGCTAGCCTTGTTATCAATCAGCTGAATGAATGTCATGATTCACATTACCAGCCTAAAAGCAAACACTGCTATCCATACACAATCATCTATCATGTACATTTCTATTATAAACAGCTTATAGAAATGCTACATGAAAACGGAAATGACGTCTATTCATAACAACCAATTTGTTCAATTCATGCTGATTGGTTTGCTGTTATTTTTGAAGGGTTTCCACTTGGTGTTCGAAGTCTTCTTGGGTACGACACTGTTAACGATACTCTGTACGCCGTAGGAATGAAGAGGAGCATGGTATTTCAAGTCAGAAATATACGAAGCACGAATATTAGCCTCAAGACGTATTTTGTACCAAGAGCATCCTGGGAGGAGGTGAAGGGTCTAGTTAGCACCATCTGGGCCACCGAGGTCCCTTCTGTCCCTATCACGGATTCATCCTCAGATCAACCATCTGAGACACTTCTAAAGCAAGCAACTAATGGAGATACATGGGGTGGTATGTGTTATTATGACCATCTATTTATTGCCATATTTATAAAAACGCGAACTCGCTAGCTGCGAGCTGCTAGCTGCATGCCGAAACTGGTTTTCGCTGCGGTTAATCAAAACTAATGACTTGGTGACTTTCATATTTTTGACCGCGAAATACCAAATTTTAGTGTGTAGCCCGCAGTTACAGAGTTTGCATGTTTATGAAAATGGCAGTTACGAGAACCCACGATTATATGTGCAGTAAAGGTAGTTCCGTCTAAAAAGGCAGTTGCAGTTGCAGCTGGTGTCTGCGTGGTCTTTGGTCAGTGGACTTTGAGGAAATTTCTCAGTCCTTTCGACTAATATTCAAAATTTAACCACCAATTATAATGTTCTTTTTTGAAAGCCTCATCACAGGGTATTCATTACAAGCCTTCAGGAGGAGCCACATTCATTCTAGCTGCCTATTGGAGGACTCGAAGTAAATAGAAAGTTTTTTAATGTTGCTCGCTTTTCAGTCAGTTTGTTGTAGAAAAAATTGACGACGTGATTTTTTTTTCAGAATTCGATGGTTGTCTGAGTTCTCCTTGTTCCAATGGTGGAACCTGTGTTCGTAATGCATCTTCAGTGGGGAAATATTCATGTGTTTGTAAACACGGCTGGAGAGGTAGCAGCTGTAACACCGGTGAGTGCTCAGCTAAAACAAAAATAATTTAATATACTCCATTAAACATTACCTGTGTTCCTTGATCACAGACTCATTTACGCAAGGTTAGCCTCGAATACTTTGAATTCCCACGGACCTTCACTTAAATGTATGAATATTCTGCACAAAATGGTGGCTAACCCTGAGCAACAGAAAACTAGAAACTGGAGTATTATATTTTTATGATTTTTAAGAGCATTCAATAAGCCTTATCATAGTTTAAGAATCGATTCCACTGCGCATGCGATTTTATCCCGAATTTCTCACCTTCTTTTGTTTAATTAAGAACAAAAGGAGGTTTAGACAACTGAAGGTGAGAAATTCGGGATAAAATCGCATGCGCAGTGGAATCGATTCTTAAACTATGAAAAGGCTTATACTGCTGGCCAGATTGTGAAGTAAATGAAAACTTAGGGAGCGCGTTGCCTTGTGTTGCTGATGTTCGGCAGGCACATGGTTAGACATAGCTGGCCATTGTATAGCATTTTTTAAGTTTGGTAAGATGATAGCAATACATCAAAAGAGATAATTTGACCCCAACATTGAGCGATAACCCCACCTTGGTAGCTCATGTAGACTCAGATTCTTTCAAAGTGTCAATGATTACTTCTAGAAGTCAAACTACTTTTTAGAGGAATTAGACTAAAGATTCAATTTGAGTGCTTGTAAAAGCTAAATATTATACTTCTTTGAAGAATCTGACTCAAAGCGACTTCACAAAGGGTCGGTAAAATAGAGTCAAAACAAGCGGTTTTGAAGGGTGTTCTCTCTCTTATTCATTTAGGATAATGGACCTAGTCCAACTATAGTAAATATATTACACTGTAAAAGACCTAATACACTATTTTCCCATTTCAACCCGTGCGTCATTCCTTAGTTTATCATTTGTTTGTTTAATCATTACACAATGGAAGATACATGAAAGAATCTTCGGGGAATGACACGTGCCATTAAATGGGAAAGTCATATCCCTATTCACAAATACCATTTAAAAGTCGTAGGATTTCAAAACATTGGTATTGTTCAACTTGCACATTCCTTACATTACAGTTGTATAACTTTTGCAAAAGATTTGCCCTCAAACGAGGATAAATCTGTACAGCGGTATTAACCGATTAAAGTGCACATGAACCCTTTGACAATACTTTCAGTACTGGTTCTGCATAAAGTAAATAGTTGATTGGTAAAATATTTCTTGATTT